CATTCTCCGCTGGAGGAGTGTCTCTTTCTGTTCGCTGATTACAGCCTCTGTCAGCTAAAGCTAGCCTTCGTGAATCACATCAGTACTTACAATCAGGAAGCAGCGCACGACACTGGAATAACACTTGGTAAAGCAGATGCTTATTTTAAATATTGTAACATACAATTCTAATAGAAGAACAACGCGATGATTGCGGGCGAAAAATACTGATAGGATTTTGCAGAGAAAAATGGTAGGAGTTGCATTTAACAAATGGTGTATTTGCACTTAGAGTAGCTGCTGAGAGCTACGAGGTAAGAATGTGCTCATATTTTTAGGGACAGAATTAGCGTTCCTCCATAAGATCCCTCATCAGGACTACTTGTGTGGATGAGAGCTGCAAGGCTTCTGGATGGCATTTCTATAAACACAGGAATGCTACTGAAATGCTGTAAACAGAGCTGCCTAAATTGTCTATCCAAATCCTGCAAATGATGACAGTAGCTGGGTAAAATGGCACTCACAGGCAATCAGCTGCATGGCTGAACTTGAATGCTTAATGCAGAAGGTTGAATTTGGCTTCATTAAGACCGTGCAGAGGTTAAACTTGGTTTCGTCGAGCCCAAGCAATGATGGGTTTCTCTGCATGGAGGACCCAGGGCTGCTTCTTTAACCTGTCTTCCTGGGTTGTGGCAGATTGTTTTCATTCCTGTGAGATCCCCATCCTTGATACTGAGGAAAGATGAGTGGCAAAGGGCTGATGGGCCCTTGCCCTCCTTAAAACCCAAGCCAAGGTCAAACACCCTGTCTCACTCTGGCATTATCTCACTCTGCCTGAAGGACAGCACTGCATAGCTGCAGCCTCACAGCTTTTCAAGGTTACCCGTGCACCTGCTGAACCAGGGATGCTATTATAGCTCCATACAGCAGAAAATAGACAGGAATAAGTTTCTTCCCCACATTTAGTTCTGTTTCATTTAGATTCTCACATCTCCGCCGAGGTATGGCTTACCCAGTGCCATACAGGCAGAAATCAGACAAGGCAAAAGGACAGAAAATAAGGCATCTCTACACAAACCTGTCCCCAGGAATGAGAAGACCCACAAGGGAACCTGCACTGATTTTCTCTCCAATGATTAGCAGTGAAAGTTCATTATTCTACTTCTGGTTGTTTGGTTGGTTTTTTTTTTAGGCCTACAAGCTTTTCTCTTTATCTGCCACGTGTCCCTGAACCACTAGAAAATGGAAAACATCGGCGCTGAAAAACCTTTGCAGGCTGAGCTGAAAGTTGCTGCAGGGAAAGGAGAGGAGCTGGCAGTGTTCTTCCTCACTTGGAGAAGCCACCAGTTGGGGCTCTTTGCAGAATTAAACAAGAAGCAGTAAAACCCTTTTCTTGCATTTTCCATGCACTGAACCCAACCATTCCTTGACGCTGGTCTCAATCCTCCAAGTCATGAGTCAGATTCTGAGGCACCTCATTCAATTGGAAGGACCAGAACGTATCTGTGGAGTATGGAGTGAGTAAGAACAAAGTGAGGGTATTTGCAACTTGACCTGGTACGTGTGCATTTCATTAATCCTTCCTCCACCAACCACTTAACCTTTATGGGCATTCTTATTGCCTCTCATTGTATCGATTCCAGTCCATTTCTTCAATTTAGTGAGATCATGCAGTATTTTAAACCTGTCTTCTACCGCATAACTAGGTTTAGCTGGGGGGTAATTGACATCAATTCAAAGAATGAAAAATTAGGCTGAATATCCGGGGAAAACTTCCTAATGGCGAGATGGCAGGAGTGCTTGGTGCATTTGGTGTGGGCTTCGTGATGCTCCGCAGGGACGAGTCAGGGCTCCTGAGCCTCAGCTCCAGGCACGCTTCCAGCTTCCACATCCTTGCCCCGCGCTCTTCACACAGCTGGAGTAGGGCAGCTTCACTGCAGGACTGGCCGGAAAAGAAACGGTTCTCACCCCCTGTCTTAATCTGATTTTTATTTTTTTTTAACTGAAAACAACCACTTTCTATTAGAAGAAGACTTCAGTCTGGTCCTGAAAAAATGGAAACATCATTTTCAGGAACAAAGCTCTATATAATTCTCTCCGAAGCCAAGTAGGCTGGTACATGTTTTGCTGGTTCGCTGGGGGAGGTTAGGCTTTCTTCTTTTCAGGTTCTTGAAATTCATCTGCCGCGAAAAAAAAGCAGATTTGTCAAAAAATGAAAATTCCCACTACAAAAATTTCAAAGGAAACATTTCCATCAGCTCTGCTCAATTCGCAGCTGCACAAAAACGGCTCAGCAACGGCTCGATCTCGCAGCTGCTGTCCTGAATCTCACTGAGAGCACAAGGCGATGACCCAACCACTGCCAGCTTTCCTCCGGGAAAGAAATCAGTGGGTACTCATGGAGAGCCTAGGAGCGTGCATTGCACAGAGTGCCAAGCACAGATCCTGCACCCGGCAGGGAAAAGAGAAATTTTCTCAATGGCAGGAGGTTCAGGTTGCTCCGAAAGTAATGCCTTCTATTTATTTCTGTGGAAATCACAGCAGCTACAAAAAAGCACAACACAGTTTGATAGAGCAAAATCTTAGCTACGGAACATTATATTTTCACGCAGCCACTATTAGCTATGCATATTACTAGCAACGAACAGGAGCCTGCAAGTTGTGCTCATAAAAATCTGCACCAGCAAAACCTTTTCTCCTAGGTAAATAGTGATAGGATGAGGGGCAATGGCCTCAAGTCGAGCCAGGGGAGTTTCAGTCTGCACGTTAGGAAAAATTTCTTCTCCAGAAGAGCGGTGATGCAGCAGCACAGCTGCCCAGGGAAGTGAGGAGGTCACTGTCCCTGGAAGTGCCCCGGAGCCATGGGGATGCGGCACTGAGGGACGTGAGCAGTGGGCACGGTGGGGTGGGCTGAGGGTTGGACCTGGGGATCTTAGTGGTTTGTTCCAACCTTAACGATTCCGTGATCGGTTCCACACCTTTGCTTTGTATGCGCTCCCATGCCAGATGCCATCCTGTCAGGCTGCCCCTTTACTGCTGTCACACAACAGCAAAATGTAATGGAATATTGGCAGGAAGGCTCAGCCTCTACTGCCATACCATCAGCATCCGCCTCTGACGTTATGGTTGACGTTATCTGATGTTGTGGGACAACATCATAAAAGAGGAGGCACTGCTTTCAGAGCAGCTCTCGTACAAATTTGCCTATTAACAAGTAGCCAGAGGCTGATACAAGAGACTAATTCTCTTAGAAAAATCCTTCGAGAGGATCCCAGCAGGATTCCAGGGCTGGCAAGCTGCTGGGTAGATGGGCAGTAAGTGCAGCCATCTCATGAGGACACCACCTCTGGATTTCTGGATTGTGGTTTTCCTGTACTGCACTTTTCATAATGCCCTCCGGCTGGTACCATTGAAATGAAACCTATTGATTGAAATTCTGATCCTATTGATTTTACACAAGAGATTTGCTCAAGTATGAAAGAGCAGGAACTGCTCCGCAGCCACCCCCACCCCGCTTTGCTCCCTGCTGAATGCAAGCAGTAGGCTTGCTTTTCCATGCAGGTATACCCTCGGTCCCCTGGGCTCCCAGAAATAAATTACCCCAAATTCAGATATTCAGTACCTATTAGCTCACAAATGTTCGGTAAATACTGCTGGCCCTTGAGTATGCTAACATTATTTATGAGCTCCTTTCTACTTCCCTTTGTCTGCTCTGCCTCACATCCCTACTTTACATTGTTAACCAGATGCCTTGCTTCTCCCCTTTGTTTCAGAGGTGTAGAGGGAAAATGGAAACAGTGCTTTATGGGAAGGAGGTCGTGTAAGGAGGTGATGCCTTCTAGAAGGAGAGAGCCAGGGAAGCTGTGTCTATAGAAATCTTATTTCCACCCGTACAGGAAGGGTGTGAGGCTACGGGAAGTGCAGAACACAGGAGAGCAGCTGCGAGAAGAGCCCGCAGGAGGCTTGGTGCAGCGTGAGCCCCCAGCCCAGGAAATGGCAGCCCCTGCCCAGCCCCACCTGGACCTGGTGTTTCCTTATGGATGGATCACAGCGGGCAGCAGCCCCACAGCATCCTCCTGGTTCTGTTTTACAGGGAGGCACAGCAGGGTGTGCAGCAACTCCGTCCCTTCAGCGTGCTCCTTGGCCTGGCTGCCCATGGCAGAGGGCAGCCTGTTCCCTACAACACAGGCCTTTCATAGAGTCATTAAGAGCTCTCACATCCGCAGGTCCAATCCCAGCCCACCCCCACTGCCCACGTCCCTCAGTGCCACATCCCTACAGCTCTGGGACACCCCCAGGGACGGTGACTCCCCCCATCCTTGGGCAGCTGTGCCACTGCGTCACTGCTCTTGGGGAGAAGTTGTTCCCAATACCCAACCTGACCCTCAACGTGAGGCCATCACTCTCACCCTGTCGCCGTTACCTGGGAGCAGAGGCTGACATCCCCTCCCACAGCCTCCTGTCAGGGCTGCAGAGCTCTGCCCTGAGCTCCTCTTCTCCACGCTGACCCACCCCATTCACTCCCACAGCGCTGTGCTCAGACCCCTCACAGCTCCGTTCCCTTCCCTGGACACACTCCATGTGTTTCTCGCACTGATGGACCCAGAGCTCAGCACAGCACAGAGGCGTGAGCCCAGCAGCGCCTTACAGCGGGCCGAGCCGCTCCCGCTCCCGCCGGCTGCGGTGCCGCTGACACAAGCCGGGATGCCGGCGGTGCCGCCGCCGAGGGATCCCGTCACGCCGGAGAGCGGCGGTGCCGCGCCGTGCGGCGCCGAGGCGGGGCGGTGGGAGCATGCGCGGGGCGCGCGCGTCACGGCAGCGGGCGAGGCCGGCGGAGCGCGGATCGCGGCTCCCTCCCCCGGCACAGCCGCCGCCGCCGCCGCCGCGCCTCGAGCCGAGCGCCCGCCGCAGCCCCGCGCCCGCTAAGCGCGCAGCCCGGAGCGGCGAGGACCCACCCCCGCCTCCGGCCTTCCTCCTCCCCCTGCCGCTCCTCCTCCTCCTCCTTCTGCTCCGCCCCGCCCCGCCCGCGGCCGCCCGCGCTGCCCGCAGCCCGTGGATGCGCTGAGCGCTCGGGCACGGAGCCGCCGGCCCCGCCGCTGCGGAGCCCGCAGGCCTTTGTTAATCCCCGCGGCTCTCGGCGTTGCGCTGCCTCCTGCTCCCTGCGCCCGGGCGGCGGCGGCGGCGGCGGCGGGGGCTGCGCTTTTTTTTTTTTTTTTTATCCCCTCCCTTTTTTTTTTTTTTTTTCCTTTTTGAAATTAAATTAAATCCCTTCTCGCCATGGGATGTACCCTGAGCGCCGAGGAGCGGGCCGCCCTGGAGCGCAGCAAGGCCATCGAGAAGAACCTGAAGGAGGACGGCATCAGCGCGGCCAAAGACGTGAAGCTGCTCCTGCTCGGTGAGCCCCGCTCCGCTCCGCGCCCCGCTCCGCTCCGCGCCCCGCGCTCACCGCTTCTCTCTCTCTGTCCCGCAGGGGCCGGCGAGTCGGGGAAGAGCACCATCGTGAAGCAGATGAAGTGAGTGCCGCGGGGCGGCGCGGAGGGCCGCGGGCGCCATGTTGTACCCGAGGGCAGCGCCGGGCGGGAGGCGGCGGCCGCTGCTGTTCGGGGCCCCGTGGTGCTGAACGCCGGGTTGAGGGCGGCGGGGGGGCGGCCGCGGCTGGGACCGGCGCTCGGGAGGAGGAGGAGGGGGGGAAAAAAGCACGAAATCCGCCCGTAATGCGGATTTAAAGCGAGGAACGCTGCCGCCCAAAGCCCCTTTTACCCGAGATTTAAGCCTTTTAATTAATGAGAGGCGAACTTGGCTGCCTGTCGCCAATTACATTGAAAACGGGTTATTAAAAAGGGAAAAGAAAAACACGCGACCCGACGCGCTGAAAAAGTCAGCCCTGTTCTCACGCAGCATCTCCCTGACAGATGTGCCAGGCCCCAGTGGGAATGGGCCGGTATGGCTGCCCCACACCGTGCCCCCGGCACACGGTGATCTGAGCACGTGGCCAGGCAGTGCTTCCAAGGGGAGAGCCAGCGGGGCTGAGGGAGAGCTTAAGGAGGGGTTGGAGAGCCTGCAGAGGTTTGGGAGAGCCAACAGAGATGTGGGAGAGCCTGTAGAGATGTGGAAGAGCCAACAGAGGTGTGGGAGGGCCTTTAGAGACCTGGGAGAGCATGCAGAGATGTGGGAGAGTCAATGGTGGTGTGGGAGAGACAACAGAAATATGGAAGAGCCACTGGCGATGTGGGAGAACCTATAGAGGTGTAGGAGAGCATGTAGAGGTGTGGGAGAGCGTACAGAGGTGTGGGAGAGCCAACGGAGGTGTGGGGAGCTAAATGTGGGAATGGGGATCCAACAGAGGCATTGGGATCCAACAGAGGTGTGGGAGAGCCAGCAGAGGCACACAGAGCTAATGGAGGCACGGGGAAGTCAGTGAAGGTGCAGGGAACCAACGGTGGTGTGGAGGTGCAGAACTACTCCATTCCCTTTTCTTCCTATTAATTAAAGCCCATCCAGCCCCAGCCTCCCACTGGAATGAGCAGGCGCCATAGCTGTGCATTGGGCTGGGTGTCACAGTGGTAGAGGCACGGAGAGGTTCTTGTTTCCCGATAGCGGAGGAGCCGGTGGCTGGGAGGAGCCCTGGGGCCGCGGAGTGCGGGCGGTGCGGGCGGTGCGGGCGGTGCGGGCGGTGTGCCCGCTGCCATCCGCAGTCCCTCCGCGTTGTCCCGCGGGCGCGGCGCGGTGCGGCTTTCAGGCGGTTCGCGTGGTGGACAGCGCCCAGCGGGGACTCGAACCGCCGCTGGCGCTGCGCTCGGCTCCTCCCTCGGCGCTCGGCTGCCTTCGGAGAGCGCTCGGAGGCGGTCGGGGGGGGAGCCGAACAGGCTCGGAAACAGCCGAAGGGGCTCGGGCGCCGCTCGCCAACCCGCGGGCGTGGGCTCGCCGCGGGCCCGCAGCCCGGCTCGGTGCCGTGAGCGTACGGGGATAGCCGGTCCTGCGGGGGTTTCCAGAGGACCGAACCACCGTCCCCGCCCAAGGCAACGCTCTTCCCACAGAACTGCAGGGCTGTGGCAGCGAGCAGCCTCGCCCTCAGCGCCGTTCCATGCGCCTCTCCCACTGCTATCGGTGTGCAAAGGCACCGAGCCCCTGTGAAAGGGCATTTGGGGCCGGCTTCGGGGATTTGAGGCTGGATTTGGGGCTGGGAGGACGGGTTTGGTTTGTATGTGAAAGGTGGATCTTGAGAGGAGCTACTGCAGATGAACAGCAATAAATTATTTAATCTCTAGGAATCGCTTCTGCGGAAGCGTGCTGGAATGGCGGGCGACGGTTTAGTGGAAAGAGAGGCTGTGGCTGCCACAGTAACAGCGGCAGCTGTTGAGAAGGGGCAGCTGTGGCCTTACACAACCGTGCACGGGGCTCCCGTGCTGCGGGGAGCAGAGTTCTTGCTGTTTAAACCAAACCGGTTCCAGATCACAGCCGGCTCGCTGGGCTACGTTAGTAGAGTGAGGGCTGAGAAACAGCCTGTTGTGCATCTGTCCTTTCAAGGAAGCAGCCCCAGCGTGATGCACGGCAGCTTGCAGCCCTGTGCCTGAAGATGCGGAGCTGGCTGCCGCGGTGGCAGCTCTGGGCGTGCAGCGGGGCCGCGTGAGGCTGGGCTGGGTGGGGACGCGGCGTTGCTGGGAGCAGCCGGAGGGAGCCGGCGCTGCAGGGCGCCACGGGGAAACGAACGCTTCTGAAAATTAATTTAAATATAATGCAGGCATTAGCATTTCACCTGGTCAAGCTCCATTACGCGGGCTTGCTGAGAACCTAATGAATTCTTAATAAAGATTAAATTGCGCGTTCATTAGATTTTGATGAAAGAGACCGCTGTTTTATTTTTTTAATGCTGTGTTATTGGTGTGCCTCTAGATAATAAATCTCAGCCCCGTGAATGGCTACGGCAGTTTGACACTCGGCTGTCGCCTCGTGAAGGAGCACAGGAATGTGCAGGCAGATGAGAAAATGCTAAGACAAAGGAACGGAGAGCAGGCGTTGCTCAGAGCGCTGAGGAGAGGTTACGTGCTGCCCGGTTAGTCCTTGAGGTAGTGGATAGTGGGGAAGAACTAGCAGGTAGAACTGCAGCGCTTGGAGAGCTTAGCGAGGACGGGGCTTGGGGCTGATCAGTGCTTGGAGGCACCTTTTGGCAGGTGGCGGGGAGTCAGCAGTGAAGAAAGGAGGTGCAGGTGGGCGCAGCCAGGTAGGGCTGCAGGCCAGCCTGCATTGGCAGTGACAACACGGGCACTGTGGCGCTTCCCTCAGCACAGGGTGATGGCTCCCACAGCCCCTGTGCCTTGGCTGTGCTCATCCTGGCTGGTGGCGTCTGCTCGGGATTGTTTCGCATCCTCGTCCATGTGTCAAAAGCAAGAGGAGGGCTGTGTGGCTTGGGGAGCACCCCGAGAGGTGCACGTGTGCCACGCAAGCCGGTGTGCTCAGAATCAGACAGTGACCAGGCTGTTTTCTGCACCTTAAAAAATAGCTTTTACCAGGCAAATCTGGAGCTCCTTTGAAAATCCCAGTCAGAGGGTGAGAGTGATTCAAGATAAATTTGTCTTCCTCTCCCCCCACCTGGTCTCTGCGAGCTCGCTTTGATGTAGGACTGCAATGAATGCCAACATTTTTTAAGATCTTGTATCTTGAAGTAAACATTGAGGGCAGACAGAATTTGATTTCCTTTTCTGGATTATCTGGATGGTAGCTTTGAGGCAAGACTTGTTATTGGTATGTGGGACTTTGTAGGGAATTACAACTCTGGTGAATGTGCTTGTTCATCAAGCAGCCCCAGCCTAGGACAACACCAATATCTCAGCCTGTTACTATTCAGCAGAATAGTCAGATGCATGCAGTGTTCCAGTGGTGAGCAGGGAGGAACTATTCCCTGAACACTGGGGAATTCAGCATTTAAATGTTAATGCACAACGCCTGAATTAGCTGGCATGGCTTCAGAACCAAGGTCCGGCCACTTACTCAGCAGCTGCCTTTCTGGATGGTGAGCCATTCCTCCTTCCCAAACAAGAGGTTAGTGATGGCTGCAGCATTCAGGAGGACACAGGGCTTCACCTGCCTACAGCAAAAATCATGGGTTTTTGGGACATATGTATTTTTTTTGCTCTTGCTTCCAGCCCCCTATATCCTCCCAGACAGTCTCATCTCATTTCCCCAGCAGTGCTGGCAGTGCCCCACTGATGGGCATCTTTGCAGTTCCATCTCTTTTTGCATTTAAGTTGCACCAAAGATGGGAGTGTGTAATAAAGGGAAAAATCAGGCGAGAGTACAACATTTCTCTTGATGTACCATCTTCTTCCCAACAGCCATCAGTCCCAATAGCCTGCTGATATATTGTTTTGACCTTTATCAAAGAGCCCCTCGAAACAGCTCCAGGCTCTACATGCTCTCCATGTAACTGAATTACTGATAATCTAATGAACTTCTTCCGAGTGAGAAACAGTCCCCACCCACTGGTTTACAGCCCGTCTCAGCAATTTGATGGTAAATGCCATCAAAACCCAGTGATGTGTTGTGAACACCCACTCGGGGCCTTGCTCTTTGCTGTGTGTCTGCGGCTCAGCCCTCAGCAATTTCGTGCTTTCAACCCCTTCCCAGATGCTTTTTTGCATCCCTGGGTGCTGTGGGTGCCGCTTCCCATGCCCTGCAATGGCACAGCACCCTCTGAACTGGGCAGAAATAAGGGCTGGGGCAGAGGAAAGTGAGGCTATCTCTTTTGGCTTCTAGTTGCAAAAGATGAATTGTATTTTCAGCACTTTTTTCCCTTCCCTTTGGATTATGGTGCTCATAAAAGAAAACACTAGCAATCATAGTTCATCTCTTTGTACTTCTTGTTATTAGGCTGAGAAATTTTAGAGAAAAGCAGTAACTATATTAGCAGGCAAGACAGAATACATTTTAGGTTTGGGTTTTTCTTTTTCCTTGACAGTTCTTAATTTGTTTCTTGTATAAGAAACTCATAACAGTAAAAATATCTTTCAGTGACAACAGTGAACTGCATAGCTTCTCCTCTTTCAACCTACTTTCAAAACCTGAAAAGAAATTTGCCTGTCATATTCTGACATGACACATCTAGTCCTGTTGGAAATGTTTTAGCAAGCTAATGAGATGAAAGCAGTTCTTTTAATGAACTCTGAAGAAAGAGACAAATCTGCACAAATGTAACTGGGGATGTCTTCTTTTATGTTTGGCTTGGCTAACCCAGAAGTTGTAAGAAACGTTAAGTTGTGTCGTGACAATTGGAAAATGGTGGTGGTTCTTCTCAGCCTCTTCTCTTCCATCTGTCTGGCATCATAGAGTCATAGAACCATAGAATGGCCTGGGTTGAAAAGGACCACAGTGATCATCTGGTTTCAACCTCCTGCTATGTGCAGGTCACCAACCAGCAGCCCAGGCTGCCCAGAGCCACATCCAGCCTGGCCTCGAATGCCTGCAGGGATGGGGCATCCACAGCCTTCTTGGGTCACATCTAACATGGGTTCTCTAG